CTAGAATAAAAAAAAGAAGTAATTTCAAATCAAAAAACGTTCAACGCTTAGCAAACATCCTGTCAATAACATATAGCTTGCTAGAACCTCCAACTCCGGAGAACATTCTCCACTTTTATTCCATTTTAATGATTTTTATGTAAGTTTTAACTACTAGTTGATAATCACTGATAAATTGCTAATAAACTTGAAAAATATAAATAGTTCACTATCTGACTATAATAAACTTGTTTCGTCTATTTTTAGTCATCCATAGTCACCTTGTATCATATAATGATTGTTAATCAATGGTATGTATTTGTTAATGGTTTTCGTGATTCAACAAATTCCAGGTAAATTTTTTTTGCTTTGTATTTATTAGATAAACTTATTATTATCACTTCTTTTTAGATGGTCAGAATTATATTTTATATTCTGGTATATATTTGTAACCACGATTGGACTAAATATTTGTTTGGCATTAAGTGCTGATGTAAGTTTGACTACTAAATGTAATAATTTATATTATCAATGTCATTTTATTTGTTCATCTTTAGATTCATGATGCAAAAAAACAACGAGCAGATGCAAATCAAGAATTGATTGTATCAAATATGTTCGATATTTATCGGTTAGTATCCAACTACAAAGTTAACTTGAACTTTTTTTTTTTTGTTTTTGTTTTTGATATTTTGTTTAGATCACAATTAAATGAACCATCTCCTGATGAAATTACTCGTCGTCTTGAACAACATCCATACATTAAATTTTATTCAAATGAAATAATTATACCAGATTAATCCGGTTTCAACTCTAGTTTAACGATAGTTTTTATAATTCTGTTTTTATCACTTCATATATGTTCTATTTACATTTTTTTAACGGTTTTAATATCGATTTTTTTTTTGAAATACATTGATTCATCAAATCAATAATCTACATGTGCTATTTTTTTTAATGTATAATAAAAGAATCTAGTTTCTAATAATTGTTTGCGTTTCTAATTGTGTAGAATAAAGCCTTGTTTTTCGCAGAAGTTTCAACTTCCGAAGTATTTTTTACGTGAGCGCAACAATTCTGACTACAGATTTGAGATGAGTTAATGTTTGACTATCATACTCTATGCGTAATAGTTGAGACTTAATTTTTTCTTGTTTCGAGATTAATGATAGATATGGTACGAATTACTTTACAAATCATTCCTACATGAATAATTTATCAAATACTTGGCTTTTTGTCTTCGTATTTTATACATTAATCTGTTCTTTTACAGAATAGATGTCAGTTTATAACAAAATCTCGTAAGGTGTAGGAAATTCAAAATCATAGCAAACTTTTTTGTTTTCATTTATTTACACATGATTGGATAGAGAGTACATGAGTAAGAAAAAGTAGTTTTTAGTTTTTTTAAGAAAGAAAAATTGAAAAATTTCAAAGGGTTCAAAATTTCGAAAAACGCTTTCGATTTCAAAAAAATTTAAATTTCCTTTTTCGTTCTTCTAACTTTTCGAAAATAGCTTTTTCAGATTCAGTATTTAAAGTAGAGTACGGGTATAATGCAGCGGCGTATCCAGGGGGGGGGGACAAATGGGCAACTGCCCATTTCATTTGGAGATTTGCCCATTGTAATTTTATTAGTACGTTTTTGCCCATTGAAATTTTACTTGGGAGATATACGCATGAAGTTTTTTTCGTATAACGTTTAGTAAGAGTGTGGATAGACAGAATTATTTGTTTATTTTTGAATTAGATAGTAAATGTATTTGAGTTTGTAGATAGTAAAAATTTGAGTTTGATGCATATCTTTGATTAAAAAAACCTCATTTCATTTT